GAAAGAGTTTGCAGGCAAAGGAAACAACAAGTGCAAAGTTTCCTGAGGTGGTGTTGGATGTGTCTGGGGAACATAAAGAGGCCGGGCTTTCTCAAGTAGGATAAGGGAGGTAAAGAGTGGAACAAAGAGGTTAGAGAGCTAACTAGGGGTCAGAAAGGATCTTGTGACCAAGCTAAGGGGTTTAGCTTTTATTTTAAGTATGACAGGAAGACTGATTCAATAGCTCACTGTTCCTTCTCACTTTTTTAAAAAAATTTTTTTACATTTTCCCACAAACATCAAAAAATTTTTGCTCATACTCTATAGTTCTTGACAGTTAATAAACAACTTTCAAAATTTTAAAATACTGAATTTTAAAGATAATGTTCAAAATATTTCTTATAATTTTGTATAATTGTGTTTGTGACTATCAGAATGGAGACAGTATGGTTTTAAATATTTTTGAGAAAATATTTGCATGTCAACTACTCAAATTGTTGAAAAGCAAATACCCAGCACACAAGTCACACATAAGCCTTCTCAATTCAGCCCTTACTTACCAAGTAACAAAGATCAGTCTCTTTCTTCCTTCCATGTCTTTCTCGCTCCTGCTCACTTTCTCAGCCTCACTGACTTCCTAATACCTGAACACAGTGAGCTCTTTCCTGCTCCAAGGCCTTTTCTCATGCTGTTTCCCTTACTTGGAATATTCTCCCCTCTCTTCACATTCCTGGCTCCTCCTCCTCTTTAAGGCTACAGCTTCAATGTCACATGTCACCTGTTCAGGCTATCCTGGACCACTGTCATCCTGGGGCCAGATGGTGGCACAGCAGTAACACTTCTGGACCCACATAGGAAGGTCACTGGTTTATGTCCCATAGCCTTCCTCTACGTGCTGAGTATGCACATGTTTGGGCCTATGATCCAGGCTGGCTGAGACTGGGGGTGGATTGCAGCCTGCAGCAGACCTTGTTGGGAGGTGGGGTTTCTTTCTTGCTCATCGCTTTCTCTCTCATGGAATAAATTTAGGTTTTATGAAAAAATGATGTCCAGTCTGTTTACTCATTCATTCAGCAACTATTTATTGAACATCTACTATATGCCAGGCCCTGTTCTAGATGGTATCTCTACATCCCTGCAGCAATGAAAAACAACAATCAGCCCTGACCTCATGGGGCTTACATTCATGCCAGGAGGGAAACAGCAGGTAACACATGGTGAACAAAAAGGCAGTATGTGCTAAGGAGAGGACAGGTGCAGAGAATGGGAACAGGACCTCCTTAGGTGGCACTTTCCATGGACAAGGTAACATCTGAGTAATCACCTTGAAGGCAGTTTAGGAGAGAAACACGATCTCTGAGGAAAGAGTATTACAGGCAGAGGCACAGGGAACAGCCAGTGTGAAGGGCCTGAGATAAGAATGTGCCTGGTGTGAGTGAGGAAGAGCCAGGTGGCCAGTGGGGCTCATGAAGACCTGGTAAGGGGAGTGGAGTCAATGAACTCACAGGGGTGTGTGGCAGTGGTAGATGTCTTAGGGCATTATGGGCCTTCGACTTGAGGAATGTGAGCCACGATGGTGTTCTGAGCAGAGGCAGGGAGGGATCTGCCTGAGGTGTGCACAGAATCCCTCAGGCTGCACGTGAGGAACGAACTAGGGTACAGGAAGAGAACAAGCAGCCAGGAGGCTGCAGCACTAGTCCAGGCCGATGACCTGCCCACGTTAGCACCTCAGCATGGATGGAAGCTCAGTCATTTGCTCCCTTTAAGCACCCAGCACACAGAGCAGATGCCTGCCTTAAATATGTGTTAAATGACTTATCACCCCCACGTCCTGAGCTTTTACTGTCAGGTTCTGTGCTGGGCATGTAAACAGATCTTGAAAATCTCAGGACAACCCTGTTGGCTAAGTTTGTAAATAATCTCTATGAATGAAGAACGTGGGGTTCAGAGGGGCTGCCTCCTGTCAGCAAGACAAGGACCCAACTCCTGGCCATAGAGGGTTGGAGAGCACTCACCTTTGCATGGGCACCTGCCCAGGCAAGGGGAGCCCCATGCGCCCAGGTGCATTCAAACAGCCTGCCGTGGACCCACCCTCCAGCTGGAAGCGATTTGAGCTGGGCCTCGCCCACTAAGCCAGCCTAGAGGATGCAGGTGAGAGAGATCGGGGCCAGGGACTCACATCTCAACTTGGACCTCTCTCCGGGTGCTGATCCCAACCCCTGTCTGTCTGGCAGAGTTCCGCTTTCTCTCTAGGTGCAGAAGAGCCTCTGAGTGCCCCAGTCCACGATGGTGTCCCCGTGGGCAGGAGTGCTTCCCCAGGACACCCCGAGAGGCTCCAGGAGCCCTGTGCACTGCCAGGACTGGAGGAGGCGTTGAGTGCATTGGGACTGGAGGGAGAACGTGAGTATGCAGGAGACATCTTCACTGAAGTCATGGTAAGTGGACCCGCGGGCTGCAGTCAACTCTGGCACCACCCCTACCCCTGGAGCGCAGCTGAGGGGTTCGGCTCAGATTAATCTAAGGCTGGCCCAACACCTACTCAGCCAGAGTTTCTGAACTATCCCTGGCCAGCCTCCATTCTCGTCTCTTCTCACTAGCTGTCCAGCTCCCCAGCTTCCAGACTTCTACCCCCTGCTCCCAAACAGAACACCCAGGGAAACACCAGATATCCTCAGAGTGAAAAAACTGTAGGGACAATAAAGTGTAGAGAGAAATAAATAAATGAAA